TTGCCATTTCAATCAGGCAGAAAGTATGATTGTGTTATATCAATGAATTCGGGAAAAAAGCTCTATTCAAAAATGCATGAATTATATGGTAGTGCCATTAAAAAAAAAAAAGTTAGCCTTGTATTTCGAAAACAAGTGAAAAATTTGTTTTGACGAATAATTAGGGCACAACTTCTTGTATTCCTACACTTAATTTCAGTTGATTTGTACAATTGGTTCTCAAGATAGTTAACCGGTTGTATACATTCTAGCGATCCTGTATATTGTCCATATTTGTACAATTTTTTGTTAATTTTTTTAGAAATGTGAATATCCAATCTTGTGTAAATTGCAATTTGCGTAATCGCTTTTTTGTGGAGAGGTGTCAGCATTACTGTTCTCATTTTGTAGGAATCTTGTTATTTTCGGATGCCAGTTTTATTATCTTGTGTGAAAGTGTTATTCCAGATTCGTCCACGTATTTTATTAGTTCTGGTTTTATACTATCGATTTCCGGTGCTTTGCTGGTTTCAAGTTCTCTATTGCGTTCACTACTTCATCTCTTCCAATTCTTTCTCTTTCAGCACCTTGCCGTATGCTTTTTTGTTCATTTTTATTGTTCTGCATTTCATCAGCATTATACTGATATTTATTATCTAATAATTCCATAAAGTATTTTCTCCATTTCTTCATTACCCTTGTTTTCACTGTTACCATTTCGCGTTTCCTGTCTTTCTTATTCTTTAATGGGTTTTTAATCTCTCCTCGTTTTGATAGTCGTCATTAGTATTATTGCTCCCTAGATATTTTTTCCAATAGTATTTTTTCTTTTTGGCTTTATTCTTTATTTGTTGTTGCGGACTTTAGATCCTCATACCTATCTTTAATATTTAAGTCTGTTATTTAATATCTACCTTTATATCGGTTATTTAGTAACTTATGATTGATTTTTCGGCTCTACTGGGTAGTCCTCTAGTATAATTATGTTTATTTTTAGACCTTTCTGTTTCTTTGTAATGTTACGTTGAACGGATGATTAAAATCGGCGTGGGTTAAACTCAACAATTTATTTCTCAATAACTCAAATTTACATTACTGCTCACTCGACTTGTTGACTGAATAATTATCGTCCCCGAAGTTGGCCTCTATTTAAACCTATATTTCCTTCTAGATGTGCGGCGATCGGGATATCTGGATTGCCGTTCGCGACTTCCGCTTCCAGGCTTTTTTGTAGCGATCCGCCTCTCGGTCGCTGTCATTGACGATCAGTCATCATCGGCGTACAGAACAGAAAGCTCTCGACGGTCCATAGGCGTCGTACCGGGGCGGCGTATGGGTTTATTTCGTAACAGTAATATATTTCGTCCAGAACTTATCTATTTTTTTCTTTCTTAGCCATTCTTTCATTTGGGCTGTATCTATATTGCAAGTATCGTAAATAGAAATTCTTTCTTTGTTATTTCCAGCTTAAGTAAATATTCCGATATGTATTTCCATTCTTTTTCGTCTCTGTTGTTTCTGTTTATGACAGCATCCTACCCTTTCTTGTGCTTGCTTTGATTTGTCTGCTCCGCTGGGTATTAAAATGTCGCCATTGTGAAATTTCAGGCACCCTTGTCTTTTCTTTTTTATTTTTGTTATCGCTGGAATATCTATACTTCTCTCTCATTTATTAATTTGCCAAGTTCCATTTCTTTTTCGCTGAATTATCTATGCCGCGATTTTCCTTCTTTTCGTCTTTTTATCTAGTTTTGTTCTGTTCGTTCGACAAATGGATCTTATTATCTATCGTATTTTCCCAGGTGTATATACTTTATACTAATAATATAAATGCAACAATGGCAACTGATTTGGAAGCATTACAAAATCATTAACAGAAATAGTGTCTTGGTACATCATTATTGATCTTCAATTTTAAACTGAAAAAACCCAAATTACAAAATGTCACAACAAAAAAGGAAAAACTATTAACTGTGGAATATAACGATCAGGCTATTGCAAACACACATAGTCAATTTTTTTAAGGGTCATAAATCAAAAACAGCAAAATTAGAGCAGTTTTCACAGCATATATTACCTACTTATATTCAGTAGGTGCTTTGGACGTGATCTTTATAAACGTACCAAATTTTTAGTGAGTTGAACGCTGTATCGATAATAGGATTAACAGACTTATTGTCATTATTATTAATAATGAAAAAATGACAATGGATTCAAAACTAGAAACTGGTGCATTGCAGAACAGAATATGATTAGGTACAGTAAATTTGTTCAAGCTGGAATTTATTATTTTAGACAATTATTTCAATTTGTTATTATTTACTTACTACAGTAATGTTAAAAACTCGAATGGTATTTTTTATAACTTCCTGTAGTGCATCTTTGATTTGTTTGTTCCCATTATATTTAAATACCTGTCAACCTATCCTCTATAGTTCAGTTCTGAAATTATAGAGTTAGTCAAACTAAAAGGGGTATGTCATAAACAGTTTAAATGTAACAGACATAGAAATGGTTACCTAATAGTAATTGAATTGAGAAGTCGTTGCAAGGACACTACAAAAGAGGTTTACAATTTATACTTAAATAATATTGAATGTAAATTAAAAGATCGTTTAAAAAGGTTTTGGAACTTCATTAAAGATAAATTGCGTAATACTCTACCATCTCAAATATAAAGATAATATCTCAATTAACAACGACGCTATTTGTAGTGCTTTTATCGACTATGTTGCTTCTGTATATGACAAATTTGAATTCATTAAATTAAACTTTGTGTCAGATAAATCTGTAAGCTGAAACAATATTTGCATAAGGGTTGGAGATATCGAATGTGCTATCAATAATTTGGAAGTTAATAAGGGGTGCGGATTTCATGGGATTCCTGCTGACTTTTATAAGACTTGTAAGGATATATTAGTGTTACCTTCTTATCTGATTTAATCATTACATACCTATAGGTATTTTCCTTTCTGCGTAGAAACATGCCGACATATACTGAACAGTTAATTACCTCTCAGTTTCAATCCTTTCGTCAGTGTGTTATTTGAACGTATCTTATGGTCTCATTTATTTACAAATTTAAAAATATTGTAACTCAAGGGCAACAAGGATCTTTTGGTAGGAGATCTTTACTTACAAATCTACTTGAATATGTTAGTGGTGTTTGAGTAGTGGGACGGAGGTGTATATAAGCTTGCGGCAAAGTAAATTAAGTATTCAGTTTTAATTCAAAAGCTAAATGTGTACTGTTTCTTCTGTATACAGTTTGTACCTTCACATGTGCCTCAAGGTTCGGTTTTAGGATCATTCTTATTTTCTATTATTCATTAACGACATTGGTAGAAAATTTAAATGCAAATATGGTTTATTCGCAGATGATCTCAAAATATTTATCACAATTATGAGCAGTTCAAAACGTGATATCAATCCTATATTGCAGTTGGATATAGGTAAATTGTAAAAATGGTGAAAGGGTGCTAACACTTAAACATTAATAAATATTTTATGATAATTTTTAGTGGAAAATCTTTCCCATCTTGTAGTAGTTACATTTTTGACACTTCTGCGATAGTAAAAGATTTTTGATTAATGTTAGATATTAAACTTACTGTCACGATTTTCGTAATACATAAATATTACAAATGAGATTTATTCTGTATTCGACATTCTGAAGTTTAAGTTTAAGTTATCCGGATCTGTTATCTTTAAAGATAACAAGGAAGTATTATATAATTTGTTTAACGTTCAAACTTCTCAACAATTTCACTGATACTCATGATATTTAAGTTTAATTGACTTTTATTTGTTACAATATCTTACTAAGAAAATATTTTTTTTAGCGTTACAATGGGCAAAACTGACTATGCACTAAGGTTTGCTTTAAACATTATTTTCTATGGGTAATTCTACAAAGCTCGGGTAACTTGTGTTGATGTGTAATTTAGACAACACTATCAAGTATGTTGAATAATTTTTAATAATGATAAATATACAAGAACCACTACTAGATCACAATACAAAGACAATAATTTATAGCATAGAATACAAGGCTTTTTAATTTTTAAGATTGAAAAAGGTTTAAGGTTGTTTTTATTACTTTAATTTTCTATAAATGGATGACTTTGTAAGACTGTAAAGATAATAGTATACAGAATAAAAGGCTGTTTTTATTAAATTTGAAAGGATGGCATGAAAAATATTTACTGAAATAAAAAATTAAGGTACTACAATAATAGTAATTAAACTTAGATTTTAGTGCAATTTCGTTTAATTATTATTATTTAAAACTAAAAATAAAAAAAATTTGATTGATAATAAAGTAACTGATTAAAAAAAAACTTGTTTTCCGCTTATCCCTTCATATATTTGTCAGTTATTTGAAATCAAATTGACAAAAACCTTAATATCTCCTAAAATTTTCTATAAGGCGACTGTTCCTAGCACCCATAGTTTAACAAATTCATGGTCAATCAAAAGTATTCTAAAGGAATATAATTTTACATAAAACACTTCTAATTCTAAGTCATCAGCAAAGTTACCTGAGTTTCATAGAAGTACCCATAAAAAGAGGTACCGTGACATGGTGGATGTTTATAGATATAAGCTCTATAGTGCCTTTAAAAATGATATTAAACGTCTCTTCAATAAGTACATTGAATTTTATGTAATAATGTAACTCTAGTTTGTAAAAGGTAATAAAAAATATAGAAATAAATAAATACTGGTTTAATCAACGTTTCAAATACGTATGTCGTATACTTTATGTAATTATGGTTATGCACTTATTTAATCTTGAAAAGAAAAACATACTTTTTACTTACCCATCTAAGAACATACCCCATAACATGCAGTTACGCTTATTGCCTCACATTTTTGACATCAGAAATACTTACATATGCATATTATATATCTACCGATAAAATATTGGCATATTGCATAGAAAAGAACACATGCAATTTTGATTCTTTACTTTTTCTAACGATACAATATGTACAAAAAACATTTGGTACTTAGACTGTATAATAAAAGGACAAAAATAATCCAAAAAGAAAGATTACAATAAGGAACACCTTATACAATCATGTTTCGTATGTATTTTCCTTTAATCCTTTCTAGCTTACATTATTAAAGATTCTTAAAACAAGAACGCGTCTTAAGATTAAAACTATTTACAATTTACAGTTTCAGCTTCGAGTCGTATTTAAATCATCTAACTTTTGAATATTGTCAAGTTCTTCATGCACATCGTCGCACTGTCACGTTTTCGTTATAACTGGAACGAAACGAGGTCGCACGGATTTAACGCCTCATGCTCCGGTGTGACGTCCGGTTTGTTAATTTTCGATGAGGAACAAACCTCATTCTGTGATTGCTATACAGATATCTCCTGAATCTGTACTCTTTTCTTGACAGTTCCGCCGGATAAATTGCTAGTGGTTCTGACGGGCGGTGGAGGTTTCTCCCTTTTCAGTGTATCCTGTTTTAAAGAAGGCACATCTGTACGAGATGGACTCTTCGGCATTACGCTGTAAGAAGGGGGCAGTTCTTGTTTCTCTTTCCTACTAATGATGGGCGACTGACGAGATGAACTGTCAGGACTAGAAGGACGATGTGACATGGGTATTGTCTCTGTTGATGGAGATGAATTGGAGCGAGAGGAACGGACATGATTTTGTCTTCGGCGATCGCGATCTCTTTGGTAGTAAATTCCAGCGAATATTAACATGTTGAGGATGAGAAGGAGACATCCTACACCGACCGTCACGCCCAGGGCAGCGGTGTAGCTGTAGTAGTGTCGGGTGGCCAGTTTTTGAAGGAGCTCTTCTCCGCTTTCCTCGTCACCTGGAACAAATGGAATCAACGTGAGAAGGGTGACATTTCGTTCGACGCAGCGAATTCGTACCAAAAAATAAAGTTTGCTGCCTCCACCGACGTTTGAATCAAATTCAAATAAATTGGAGTTGAGGTGAAATTCGGGTGCACCTAACATTATTTAGAACGGGAATGTAATTCAGTGACTGAAGTGGAATTCAATCTAGTAAAAAGAATCGTGAGTGAGAAAATGCGAAATTAAAACAACAAGTTGTAGACTATTGTCACACAGAATAATTGCAGACATTAAATTCTAGAAACGTGGCGATGTGGCAAAAAATTGAAGAGCCCTATTCCAAAGCTGTGCCAAGTCCACGAATGAACAAACGAGATATTAATAATTTAATATATAACTTTTTTTTTTTTTTCATTTTAAATACTTGCGTTTTTACTGAACCGTAAAAGTAAACTGAGAACCCTCGCTGCGGATGTAAAATTTGATCATATCAGAATATTCTGAAACACTTTTTTATTTATACACCTTTTAAAAGTTTTTTAAAGGTTTGGCCACTACGGTATAGTTAGACAATGTGCAACACTTCGCCGGTGATAGTTCAGGTACAAATAAATCATTACTAAGGAAATAATGCGTTCATAATAATAATTGAAAATGTTACTGTTAATTTTAAGGATTACATTGTTTGCTTCCTCTTGTAGATAGTTTCCTTCACGTTAGAAACGTTTTTACAAGTATATTTTTGTTCTTACTTTTCAAACGTCAGCTAAGAAAATATTCTAACATGGTTATTTTCGTAAATGTGTAATTTCACGAGTTCTCAACGTTTGACAGTTATATACAAGAAGTTTTTTGGAAATATTGGTAATATCTTGCCATGAATTTAATGATTACAAGAGATCGGTTAAAAGTCAATGACATCACCACAAAAATGCATTTTTGTATTTGACAATTCATTGTTTTTTGTGTTTTGCTAATATATTTTGTTTTATTGAATAATCGGGAATGATTTATTTAATTTTCTCGAAATTCAGGGAACACAGTATTGTTGTTGTTAGTGTTACATTGTACTCATCAAAATTTCGCTAGAAACTAACTAACATTGTTTTTGCGATTACAGTAGTTACTGATTTCCCCCAAAAAATTGTGGTTATCGTGAGATTTTCCTGATATGGTTTTAAGTTTTACAGATATAACAGTAACATGAGTGGTGTGTGAGAGTGGTCCTCAAATTCATGTGCTCATAAGCACTCGGCAAGCCTCGTGCAACAACCGTACACTCACATTAAAAATAACTGCTTTAGAATGCCCGCATCTCCATTATAAAATAAACTGTCTACTGTTAAATTATTCTCATTTAAGACTTATTTTTATTTCTACGAAAAAAAAAAGAATGTATTGCAAAGTTTTGTTAATGTAAATTTCGTTTAACGGAACTCAAAGAGTAATAAAAACATAATGAACTCTTTAAAAGTATTTTTAATTCCATCTAAACTGGCAGTGAAACGACCACCGTTATAACGTTGGTACATAGATCGTTTTAAGTCTATTTTGTTTTGTTCGTTATTTTTACAAAGGTATTTGAACAAATGAAACGAAAATGATAATCAACAGAGTACAGAATGTGAAATACTTTGAAATTTTAGTTAGTAAAGTGGTAGGTTATGATAGTGAAAATGTAACTAGTTCGTAACATTTCTAATTCTCTTTGTGATCTTGCGTTTTGCGTCGCTGTTCAGTCAGTATTGTTGACCTAACAAACTCCTTAAGCAACTTTGCTTTATTCTAAGATTTATTTGTACAGGGTGTTTCATCAAAGACTAACCTCTTCCCCCTGATAATGTTCGCATTTTGTGCATTCCTAACAACGAGTGAGTTTAATCAAAACTTTGAAGCTGATTGACAGAATGTTGAAGTTTGGAGTACTTCAATTAAACGCGTTTAGTCTCAGAACGATGCAAAAAAATTGCAATTTTGTGTTCGGAAGTTTAGGCAGAACTATGATATTTATTTGAAGTAAATTCGGTTGAACGCTGTTTAGCTGACAAGCACTTGGTTTAGTAGATCTTATTTTTATATAATCTATTTATACACTTAGTGAGAAAAAGGATCATTAACTTTATGAGTGTCGAATTATTAGCGCATTATAAGGTACATTCAAGTCGCTAATCATGGGGATTAATGTAGCTCAGCAATGTCGCTTTATTTCTCTGTCATATCTGTTTAGCATGCAAAATAGCATACGTATTCAATGCGGCACATAACTGTTTTTTTTTCAACTTAATAAAGCAAAAACTCGGCAATGTCATTACCAAATTTAGTTTTATGTGATACAATTTTCACACGATAACAAATTTTTGCTTGGCACTTGTTTACCTTTAAACTATTGTTTCTCTTTCGATATAAAGTCTTGTTTATAGAGTGATATAAATCATTTCAGCGTGGAATTCTTAAAATTGACAAGGGAGCTCTATAAGAGTAAAAATATACTGTAAATTGTTTCTCCATCGTGGGAGACAGAACGTACAGTGTGAATGTGACAACAGAAGGTTATATACAATTGTAAGTCGTAGACCATTAATTACCTGAACAAAACTTATGTCTTGGAGAGAAGGTTTATAGAGTTTTATGGCCAATTTTAAAGACTTACATGTCTCCTTTTGTACAATTCCCATATATATGTTGGCAGGAGAGGTATGCTTTCATGCATTGTAAATAATATTCATCCTGACTGCCTTTTGTTGTTTTCTTTTTCGTTCCTAACATTTTTCACGGTTCTGGGTCTAAGTAAATCGAATTACTGTTTTCAATAAGTATGCATGTAATTTTTTTTTGAAATCGTATGTACACATTACAGTGGAAATTTTTAATGAGTCGATGAAATTTTTAGTAGGTTGTAACATGCGAATATGGTAATATATTGTAGAACAAAAGGTTTGATTAGAGGCTAGCATTGATCCAAAGAGTAAAGACCTTAGCAAAAATACATTCAAAGAAAAAAAGTCCACAGTATCGAGTGACTTTTTTAAATGTCTGCTGACGTCAGTCGTTTCAATTGCACTGCTGACGTATTTACGTGTTATGGTCAGGTAGAACAGAAATTTAAAAAATCACACAGTACTTATAAGCAAAATCTAATTAATTTACCATGGAAGATAAAACCTATAAAAACTAGTTTTTGTTTTTTTGTTTTATCATGGATCATCCTCATTGGTCCACGTTTTTGATCATCAATGTGAAACATCAAAATGCTAAAGAGTTCCGCCCTGTGACTTTTTGAATAAACTTGATATCTTCAAATTACATCTAAAGCTTCAAATTAATAAAAAAACATGGTCAAAATAAAATTAAAAAAATAATCGGTTAATACAGGGTGACTGCGTAATAACAACTTTTACCAACCAAATATGAAATTTCAAAATTTTTCTTGGATATATTACATACGAAGTTTGAGTTCTGTTAAAGATATAATGGGTTGACGAGTATCACTTCTTACAGCAGTTAGGTAAGTCACGTGCCGTATTGAGATAATTTTTATTTGTTACTTTTACAGAAAAAATTCATTCAAGTCCACTTTGTCGAAGTCGTAAAAATTACCCCAAGTTGAGTAGCAATTAAGTCATAATCGCACTATATTTTTCGTCATACTCAATGTAAGTACATCAGTAGTACAAAATATGCTTTAATGGGTTTCTTGTAGACAGCAAACTCTGGTCACGAAATTAAAAAAAATTGACGGATTAATTTTGTTGAAAAAGAAGAGATCCCACACAGTATATAAGTACATTCAACCATTTACAGCTTCAAAATTTTCCACCACTGTGACCAATGTTTATCTTTTTCTTCATATTTCCAGAATTGTTCTAACATTCGTTCACTTGTAGTTTGGTGATACTAATGAAGGAAAACCTTCTTAAAGATGGTTATAAGTGTTGTTTTTATTTTCTAGAGTGCTCAGCAACTTTCGAGTGTGCTTGAGTCCTTCCATTTGGTTTTCTTTTATTTACCTCTCCAGTACAAAGAAATCTTTGATATGTGCGACCAAGATCGTCTTTTGGACTAAATTGGGAATTATAGCTTTTATTTCCCAAACACCTACACCACATAAAATATTTGTCGACGCGTTTCTCCAACCACGTTGGTATTATCTAGACAAAATTAGTAGAGAATAAAGCCAACGTGGTTGACGAAACGCGTCGACCAATATTTTGTGTCGTTTCGGTGTTTGGGAAATAAACGTTATAAGATTATAGCGCACCGAGTTATACAAAATGATTCCTAAGAATATTTCATAAGAAATTCAGTTTTGTAGGCTGGCAATGCGTAGTTCCACTCAATATTGTTCAATTTTCTTTTATGTTAGTAGGATATTACAGTAAATGTATCCTTCTAGACAATAAACCAAAACCGGAGTGTTTCTGTTTGTTTTTTACCGTAATTAAATTAATACCGATGTACCTTAAGGGATACTTCGCTATTGGTATAGACTTAAGAAAGAGTGTTGTTCCATTCTGTTGCTTTAACTAACACTTTAGCTAACTCAGAAGACCCGAATTACACTATAAAAGATGATAATTTGTGAAAAGAGTAATAAATGAACAAATTAAAACCAAACAACGTAACAATTAAATGTGAGACCAAGATGTTAATTGTCAATAAATGTTAAATTTACACCGACATTTCCCTAATGTCGAACATTTCATGAAAAGTGGCAAATCGACAAATTTAATTTAAACTGCCTAGGATGAAAGCAACATTTATAATAAATAATCTAGTATGTGCAAATACACCTGACATAGCAAAATAGTAATTTTAAATATTTAAAAAAATATCCGGAAGTTTGTGTTATAACTATCAAAACTAATTTCTTTCCGCTCCATTTGTATCAAGTGTATCAAAACTTACATCTACAGATGATGTAAGCGGAAACCGAGACCAAATCATGAATCATTTAGACGTTTGCCATGGAAACCGCGCCTCTAGTCGCTGTGTTTGGCTGGAATTGGGTTCTGTTTGAACGGTGACCGCTAGTAGTAATTCAATTAAAAAAAAATAATAATGAATTCAGTTAAATATTTAATAAAAAGTCGTTCACTGTCTTGGGATAACCAAATTGTAGTAAAAAATTTAGAGAGAGCCACCCTCGATTTATTAATAAAAAAAGTGTTCATGGCAAAACGAAAGTTGTGTCCTTCCATTTCAAAAGCATACGAGCTGCTACTGCATTTTTGTTATTAAATTTCGGATAATTCTTGATGGTTCGATGTTCACTATTTTATATAGTATATAGACGACTTTGATTAATTGTCTTTAATGTATTGGATCCAAACTTATTATATTAAAATATGATAATAACTTGACAAGATTCCAGATACCTATAGTCTCAAGGCGTGGAAATATTCACTCAATCCAAAATACACATTTCACAGTTAACCCGATAATTTTCGTGTGTTGAACAATTTTGAATCAATGTATGTTTTGCAAAAAAAATAACGTGAACTTTGACCTTTAACCCAAAGTGTTGTTTTCTTTAAGTTTCACATTATTCTTAACCTAAAATTTTAAAATTACACATTTTATTCGAATAGAAAATATAATCAACGTCATCCTTAGTTTGTGTATATTATGTTGCATAATTTTGTCCACGCCCTTAAAAAATAAACTATAGAGTTTACTTCTTGGTATTTTCGTCCAGTTCCTTGGATGATTTTGAAAGCTTGAAATTTTCATGTAAATATTATGTTATTTCTAAAGTATATTGTATTTTTTTTTACAGTGGATTATAGGCTATGATTAAATCCTAACCATTTTTCATAAAATTTGTTAATTTTTTTTAAACTCTCTGTACAAGACGTATATCTGGGTGTTTACTTTCTATAATTCCATGTCGGAGAAGCCACCTAAAATGTTTTAAGCTCTTTCGTCTTTTAAGAAAGGTGTCGCTGAATTTTTATGAGATTTATTTTCATCATTAAGAAAATTTTGTTTTACCAGTTAGATGTATCTACATGTACCCTTATAAAAAATTCCTCGATATTGACTTGTTCTCTTGTGATCAACTGATCACCAACGCTAAATTGTTGTTCTTTGCTCAATCAAGAAAACTCTTTCAAATATATATAATTCTAATCTAAGTTGCAGAATTCTAGCCAAGTCTGGCTTGTTTTCGTGTTTTCCACTCTTTCTTCAATAAATTCTGTATTTATGATCTGGCCAATTGGTTCGTTATTGACGAGTTAGAACTTTAATACATTTGGAATTTTTCTGTTCAAATATTCTATTATCCCGTCCCTAAAATTTTCAGCAAATCGTTGCGGTAAAATAGTCCTGCAATCTTTTAGCTGCACAAATATTTTATAGCCGTATTTCTTTTAAAGTCGACTAAAACTTTTAATTAGGGTTTTTGTTTTATTCAAAAAAGTTTTGCATTTAAAAAAGTTTGCAAATGTGATTCTATTTTTAATTCAGAAATAAAAGATGACATTTTGAGTTTACATGCTTAAACGATTGCATCACTAAATAAATCACAAAGTGAATCGATATTTACAGAAAAATCATGTTGGTGAGGGGGTAGAAGGGATAAAATGGATGTACAAGGTTAGGAGTAAAGCAATGGAGGGAAACCGCTTGAAATCCCACAACACGCCTGTCAAAATCTCAAATTTTCACTCAAAAAAAAAATAACTTACTGCATAAGCACACATATTAAACATCATTTACTATACTCAACTTCAATTATGTTTTGCAAACTTTTCTGGTTAAAAAATTAACTAGCATATTTATGAAGCCTGTATAAAATATTATACCGGGTGTATAAAATTTTCTTTTTTTATATGTATTTTTATTGTACACAGGGTTGTCTGTAAAATGTATTACTAAAAATTTTACCTTAATGCCGCAATGCAGGTTGTAAGCAAAATTTAATAAGAAGATGCTGAGTTTGAAATACGTCATTACTTCTTTGGATGATGGCAAAATATAGTTGGTTGTGTTCATATGTTCACGATATTTTAAGAAACTCGTCAAACTTCAGATTAGTGAGAACGATAATTTCCGAGAGTGTTTCTTTAAAAAATGTCCAGAGAAGAGTAAAAGAAAAATATAAAATTTGACGTTTGTTAAACTGACCTTATGTTATTATAGTACTTCTGCAGCTATGATTTGGTAAAGTTTCTGCAAAATGTGTAAACATTTAAGTATATTTCACCGATATGTTGTTTTAACGGTATAAAACGAACAAAAACATGATTATGTTTTTATGACAATGTGACACAAAAACTCCTACAGCAGGTCACTACTAAACTTTCAGTTAAAATACTAATTTATTTAAATACAGAAAATTGAGATTGTGATGACTGATGATCCATGATAACTTTGATACAATTCTTGTAGTACTACTCAGTGTATTATTAATTAGTTTTTACTTTTCAGTGATTTTCAACTAGATGATAATGAGTAATGACAGTGTTGCCGACGGAGCAAACTCTGTAACGCCTGGAGTATTTTAGAGAAATTAAATTTCTACGCCTTCGATTTAGTCGTGTTACGATCTTGTATCGATCTATACCTTAGGACAAATGGATGTAAATCGTCAATTTATTCCTGGAGGCAGCAAATAAGTACATCCTTTTGCTAACTACTACGGATTAAAGCTAAAATTGAAGCTCCTGTTTGGTATGCTATCTTTAGATATTAGCTGGTTAAACATGCACAATGAATATTGTCTTACTTAAGTTTAATTCGTCATCGTCTACGAGTTGGTCATCAGCTGTTGTGTTGGGAACGCATTCCGTGCCCTCTCCGTTTGCGATATGGGAATCTGTCATTGAGGCCGGATGCAGGGATGGGGGTAAGCGAGTGAATGATTCCGCCCTGACAGAACCTACAATGAAAAAGCGAGTTGATAAATTGTATGCAAAGAAATAACCAGCGGCAAAATTAAGGGGAAATCGACAGCACATATTTTCAGAAAAAGCATTATTATTTTGATGACACAAGGGAAAGGATCTGTGAAGCCTCATCATTATTCTTTTGAATACGAGGGTTATTTAGGAAAGACTGAGACTAATACCGTTACAATGTCGCACAAGTAAGGTGTCACTTTGAGATTATTAGGCTTCTGGTGTTCAAAATTTGTTCAAAAATTTCATTGGTCGGCGATTAATTGTTTGTTTATGGTAGTAAAACAAACTGGATGTTTCGTTTTCTCGTTTCTAGTGTTTACATTATCGAAACTAGAAGGGAGAGATATACGAGTAAATTTTTGTTTGTAGTAATAATACTAGCATTGGAGAATTGGATTTAAATGTCTTCCGCATTGGCGGTTATGAAAACAACGCACCCCTGTTGCATTTATTCAAGAAATAATCAATATTTGGAAGATCGTTGTTTCCAAAGATCCGCATTGACCATCTACAGACCTGCTACTGTTTTTCAAAAACCGTTACATTATTATTAATCACCAACATTTAAATTTATAATGCTCTACAAGTAGATGCTGCAGAATTATAATGTAGGTTTGATATTATTAAAATGTACAGTACCGAACATAAATTAACCAAATTTCGAAAAACTCAACCTACAACCAGTGATTTAATATATTGTACTACATCAAAATACTATTTCAAGCAGCCAACGTCATCTAAAGTATAATAACGATATAGGAGTAATTTTTTTTGAGACGTAAAATAAGCAACTTTTTAAAGTGTAGAGTTTATTATCAAATTTTAAGCAAAAATAAATGAAAAATCAGTATTTTGTTAGATATTTTTTTTTGTGATACTACTTCAGGATTTCAACTTTGTGTTTCTTGACAGGTGCTTTGTGCACCCTTCATATAATTCTTCTCTTTTGGAAAATGTTTTATTTACAGGTTGTCTTTTACTCCGCCGCACATGTGCTCGATGAGATTTAGATTAGGTAACTGAGTTGACCACTTCATATCGACGATGTTTTGGATTTAAACCACGTCTTGACACATTTTCCTGTGATTCGGTTCATTATCTTGCTGAAATAGGAATCGTAATAGCATATCGTTTTTACCAGATGACAGCATTACCTTATTATGTATCTTTTCGTACACTCCAGCAGTCATCATTTCAATGAACCAAAATACTGGACTCATTCCTTGATGCAAAAAACATCGGTCTACAGTAATCGATTCTCCTCTATGGCTGATCATTTCTATGGTATATTTTGGGTGAAATTTAGTATTTGCTGGTCTTCCTACCCATTGCGGACCAATCATATGCTCTCTTATTCTTTTTTGAAATCAAACGCGTTTTCGCCGGATGTCATCCTCGTAAACGTTTATCACACAACCTTTGTTAGATAGTTCTTGTGGACACAGTTGTCAACTGTATTTTTTAATGGATCTAATACCAATACTCAATACGCTATTTCTAACATTAATTGTTCGATTAAGAAAACTGTTTATTGTCTATTAAACGAAGACGCTCGTGATTTATCTCTCTTCGTGGCTTTAAAATTCTAGGAACGAATGGTTCGAGTAATTAATGGAACCTTAAAAAAGCAGATTTTCTAATTTATATCACACAGGCTGGCCTTTTATTTGATGGATTAGTGACGTTAATTTGGAGTGTTATTTTTTTATGATAAGTTCAAACAGCTCTACACACATTCGTACCAAAAAGTTACTTTTGCAAGTAATCCTTTCTAGCTGTTGTACACGTGTTTCTCTTAGTAAATTTTAACACAAATAGCGTTTACTACGTAAACTTAGATACAGTAATTATCAGAAACATATTGAAAATTTAAATAAGTATATGTATTCGATCTGATCTTAACCGAAGATTAGTAAAACTAAGTAGGTAATTGTAAAAATTTTTGCCCTACTTAAAAAATGTATACTTCCTATATGACTTATAGTAACGACCTCCTAAGCAACCCCAATCGAATTGACAATGTGTTGGCAGATAGCTTGAGTAAAAATTACAATGACGACAACGGAGATGATATGAATATTTTGATCTTGTTCAACTGTGATCCGCTTTTCTGGTGCTAGATTGTACCTTTGTGTTAATCCAACCACTAACAATAATATTTGAGTTAATCTTGAATATCAGGGCATTCCCTGATAACTGGAAATTATCTTAGGTACCTAAGTTGCAATATTTGGTTTAAAAACGATGGGTAAAGACAAGACACGTCCTAAATTATTTTGAATAGAGAAAGTTCGATTAATTTCATATACCCAACACGAAGAACTCAATTAAAATATAGTGAAGTATCGAAAAGAAAAATTTTGAAGGGCTACATCTTCTATGTATATTTATATTAAAAATTTTTTTTTCAGCTCCATAAACAGTTGTGAACAACGTGTCATAGAGGTAGTGCATTAATTTTTGAGCACCTGTATGTGCTAGTGGATAAAGTACATAGGAAATTTTGCTAATTTTATGCTTGACTGTTCATGTAATTTTATTATATTACAATTAATTTCGGAGGCTTGCACGGTCGGAATCACTACATGATCGTTTTCCGGGTTGGAACCGTGTTAATTAAGTTTTTGGGCTCAACGTTTCGCACATATTTGTAAGTGGCATCTTCAGCAGCAGGGTTAGGAATAAGGCAAAAGACCACAGTAACTCAGTATGTCAACCATACCATAGGAGAAACTCTTCTGGCGGGAAGAATGTGGTTCTGATCTGACCTATTTAAAGAGACGTGGTGGGGGAAACCGTCGTGGTTGAAGCTGATTGGCCGGCTCTGGGTGGAGTGGGGGGAGATAACCGAGCATTCGCATCCAGTGTGGGCTTCCAAATATTTGACAGATAATAATCATTGTCTGTTGTTATGGATTTGAATAGCTTCACGGATTTTCCGGTCATAGAAATGTGGTGCTCTGGACAGAACTTTGGAATTTACAAACGTGATGGTGTGACCGATTTCATGTTGGTGTTCAGCTACGGAAGAGTGAGTCAGAAAACCTGTTCTGAGTCAACGTTTGTGTTCTTGAATTCGAATTTTTATGGACCTACCAGTTTCTCCTATATACAGGGTTAGTCACGAGAGAATTACTTCTGAAAATTATTTTTACGCAACCCAAAATACTAATATCCTGTACCACTTGATATTATCTAAATTTAAAATGAAATGCCTAATCCATGATTGCTTTGACTTTGACAGTGTCACTTTGACGTTAATTAATTTTTAACATTTTTTTTTCATCGTTGACTCGCCTCTAGAGCCCCATTGGATCGACGACATACAGTCAGATCAATCTGGGCTATACTGAAGCCGTAAGTGCTCTACCAATATTGTTCGCCGCTAATGTGCATGTGTTAATTCGCCATCTCTGCGTCACCTAGAGCCTCTTCGAAGTGCAAATCCGCAACCTCTGGACTTCTTGGGCCATCCATTTACAAAAAAGCCGTAGCATCCCCCCAAAAATGCCCAACATTTTCAACAGATTAGTAGTTAAATTATTTACTTACTTGTTTGAGTTTGTGTTGTAACCTTTGAATAAAATGCCGTAAAAGAAATTTTTAGAAATAATTTTCTCGTGATTAATCGGTTGCAAAAGATCAAGAGGCACACTGACAAATTTATTAGCGGCGCCGGAGGAGATTTCCGACTGACTGCGGTAACACCATTGACACTCGCGTAACTTCCTTTTCCACAATTGTCAAAATGAGATTGCCAAACTCAAAGCAATCATGGATTAAGCATTTCATTTTAAATTCAGTTAGTATCAAATGGTACATGGTATTCGTATTTTGGGTTGCGTAAAATTAATTTTCAGAAGTAATTCTCTCGTGACTAACCCTGTATGTATTTTTTCTACTCCCACATAGTAATCCATGAATTACGAACTGTCTAGCCTCATAGTAAAACCATAGTTACACCCACTGGCATGTAATGAATGAACAGGCACGTAATATATATATATATTACGTGCCTGTTTGGGTAGTTTCCATAGCAACTATAAATATTTGCTTTCCCAAAAAAAAATTCTTCTGAAAGTGATTCTTCATTATAGATCGTAGAAAAAGTATATGACACAACTCTGGTGGTAAGCTAATTACGAACTCATATTACATCACTCGCTCGCTACGTTCGCTCGTGTGTAAACTTCGTTCGTAATTAGCTTCTTACCACCCTCGATATGTAATATACTATTACACCACAGGAGCAGGCAATGCTGTATATTCCTCTACAGTCTAGACATTGGCGAGAATCTTTGACGGAAGGAAGCATTTGTGCAACTTTAGTTGCAGGTTTGAAGACTGTGTTAACTTTTTGCCTTTTGAGTATTTTGGTCAGACGGTCCATGACCTGAGGAATGAATGGTAGATATGCAGTCGATACGAGATCAGTTGGGCGATTTGAAGTACTGTCAGAGTTGGGATTAAGTCGACGTTGCAAGGCTGACTTGATAGTGTGGTGGTCGTATCCATTTTGTTGAAGAGATGTTTGTAGAGATTCTAATTCATTTTGGAGTTTGTCCAGTTGACAAATGGTAATGGCTCGATGAATTAGGGAGTCAATGACAGACCGGTTTTGGGCGGGGTGGTGATGAGATGTAGCGTGAAGATATCGATCAGTATGGGTGGGTTTTCGATAGACTGAATGACCAAGTCGACTTTCGGGTAACCTGGTTACTATAACATCAAGGAAAGGAAGACGATTGTTGGTTTCCACTTCCATGGTAAACTGAATGTAGGGGTGTTGACTGTTGAGATGGTCGTGAAAGACTGAAAGGGCGTTTTCACCATGGGGACATATGACAAATGTGTCGTCCATGTAGCGGAACCAGACTTTGGGTTTGAGTTGGGCGGATTCAATGGCTGTGTCTTCAAAAGTTTCCATGAAAATATTGGCGACGACTGGTGAGAAAGGGGATCCCATGGGAGTACCAAAGATTTGTTTGTACAATTGACCTTGGAAGGTAAAATATGTGGAGGTTAGACATTTCTCCGCGAGATCGCCAAGAAGTGGAGCTTGTCCGTCACTGGAAAGTAATTCACCGATTAATGTTAAGGACTCGGCCACAGGGACTTTTGTGAATGAAGATGTTACGAAAGTGTGCGAAACGTTGAGCTCAAAAACTCAATTAACACAGTTCCAACCCGGAAAACGATCATGTATATATTATAATTATTGGACCATCTTGATATTAGGGTCTTCCTGTTGGACAATACAGAGTTATTTCTTATTATTGAAAAGATATTGGTCATCTAACGCGTGGGCTTAAAGTAATCAGAACCTTTTATTTTGTAAATACCTTATTCAACTAACGAATGTAAGAAGGAACAATATAATAAGAATAGAAATCTGTTGTTTTACAAGTGTTCAACACAAAAAGCATAAGCTAGAATAATAAGTAACGAAAATAAAGAAAAGTCTACCATTTTTTTTTACATTTTTGTTACTTAACTATATTCCAAAAATCAAGAGAACCTTTTGTTTCATATAATTCAACTTATCAAAATTTATATCGCACAATTGTGGAATTCCATTAAATCTGTCACACATGACTACAACTGGAATTTTACTAATGTATTAGTTCTGCAGGTGTCATAGTAAAAGCAAGTTCTGCATCTAGTGTTAAACCGTGAGCGTGACTGGATCCCTGAGGAACTCCAGAGGTAGGAACAAATGATTTAAATAGACAATTACGATATCTTACGCAGTGCTGACGGTCTAACAAGTGATACCGTAATAATGATAATTAATAGTGGTGCAAAAAAAAAAATGTAGACGTTTTTTTGGAGAAGGATCACGTGATTAATTTTATCAAACGCCTTTTAAAAATCTGTATAAATGACATCCATTTGCCCATTGTCATCTATTGTCTCTGAGATGTCTTGCATAAGAGATTTGTTACGGTTGATCGATTCTTCAAGAAGCCATGTTGTTCTGTTGAGATGGTATACTTTAAGCTCACATAGATTCTGTTGTGTCCCACAGATTCCAATACTTTTGCGCAATTACAAAGACGGGTTGTTGGAATGTTATTAGTCACATGCTTGTGATTGTATTGATGGAACTACAGGGTTTCTATATAAAAATAGATATAGGGCTGAAGTAGGTCATGAAAACGTGCCGCCTCTGAGTTTTAGACTATACTAAATGCCCAAGGACGTACGACAAATACCGCATGCATCTGTATAACTGGTTGCCTAACTCCTTCATATCTTATTAAAAAATAAAACGAATTCATTGCAATAAAAAGAAACACATTTATTGCGGTTAAACATCACAGTAAATGTTCAAAATGTTCATCATTTTGTTGATGCCACATGTTAACTCTTTTTTTAATTTCAAAAATGTTCTGTAATCCTTTCATTGTTCAATTTCACGTTGCAACAGGAACTCCTGACTGCTGAGGAAATCTTGTCAAAGATGTTTGCGGATTCTGCTAAAGTCGTCTTAAATCATCAACAACTTCCTAAGATACTGAAAGTCTTCCAGGAGATTTCCTTTGTTGACACTGCCAGTTCGAACAAATCTGTTGATTACATCTCTAATGTGAGCCTTTAACGATGTTTCTTAAATTATTAAATCACAGTATTTGGCCAAATATTCCTGCATACAAGCGGTTCCAGAGTACACACACTCCTAGTTTACGAATGTCCCATTGCGATAACAAGACATAATATAGAAATGCTGAAACTGTCTTGTTCAACGAAATAAATCATTTTCACGGTCTTCACTTCTTAGCTCAAAAACAAAATTTTCGTACGCAAGCACCAAGAGTTTTGAAAACGACTGTTTTGTTGTTTTGAGCTTAGATCAACGATAATTAACTGTAATTCACACTTGAAAAACGTTAAATCATCATAATAATGAGGCATAATTTCAACGAAACGGGATTTTTGAAATCCATGGCCAACTTCGCCTTTAGAATCATTTATAATAGCCCTGTATTATCAGGAATCATATTATAATATGGTACGTAAACAGGTGAAATATTCACTAAATCCATTGACAATGATGATAATAATACATATTCGCGAATCTTTGTATTGCATGTTCCCAAGAATTCTATTATCTCTTTTATTATGTTGAATGGAGCTCCAAAATTTTTTTGGATCAACTGATTTTGCATATTATTAATGTATGCTCCAAAACTCTTGTCAATAAACTATTTCGATCTGGTACGGCATTGCTTAATCACATCGTAGGACTATAGGACTATACTTTTTATACTTCTTATGATAAAATAAATAAAAGAAAGATAGTAGAATTTAAATTAGACTAACTAATGACTTCTCTATTAAACTAAGGTGGTTATGAATGTGGACTTTTGTTTTTACGATATTTGTGAACTGCAGTTTCGAATAATTTAAACAATATGTCTTAAAAGTCGTCACAGGTATTTTTAACAGACGGGAGTCAATACAAGGAGGTCCAGTTTGTATATATAATCAGATTGTACAATACTAGAAAATTATCCCTTCTGAAGTTAAAGGTTTGAGTGTTATTACAAAATGTGAACATTTTAAGAGGATTATTTGTTATGAAAAAAGAAATTTTGAGAATCGGATAATAATCATCATCACGTACAATTGGATTCTCACATCTGGTTACATTGCCTTAATTACTGGGTTGTTTTGGCCTCCCCTCCAACACTGAAACTGTGAAATATTTCAGCAGTAATAAACGAACCTGAAAAATTTCTGGTAACAGGTTTTTTCCGACAATTCCAAAAAGAATTTTTTTCAAACAATTGTTTGCATTTATATTTGACACTATCAGGACCACTATTCTTATTTCCACTGTAGTAGTTGTAATAGTCTGGGCATATTGTCGTTGCTAAAAATAAGGGTGATCACTGATCAAGTAATCACTTCAGAGTTTTGCGTCTGTCCAAACCTAAATTTATTTAGTTTTAATACTCTAATTAGTTAAACTGCCCTCTGAATTATACAATTCAACTGTTACAAAAATTTTGTTGTTTGTTTTTCTACCCCCTTACGATTGTAATATTTACTCTTATTTCTTTAAGCCCAATTCTTATAATATTACTTAGATTTCAGTACTGTGTCTTATGACACACAACTGATTGTATTTTTACTTTTGGTTATTTTTTATTAAAGTCTAATGATTTTCAAAAGTTGGTCGATTTATGTCCGGTACTGCTCTTATAACATTTATTAACACAACGCGCTAAGCTTTCATGAAATAGGATATACATTATACTGTTACAAATGTTGAGTTATGTAGTCATACCCATAACTAACAATTTAGGAATAAGTAAATAAAAAGTTGCATAAGTATAGAAACCCATTTGCCTAATAATCTCAGGTTGTAACACGTTCGCAGCTTACTTAGCTGCAGAGCCCGTAAATGCATCCGTTTCAGTTTTTCTTGAATACTCCTCGTAAATCGTTCCATGCAAGCCCGCTTTAAAACGGTCCAGCTTTGAATTTATGCTCGGGCTGGAATCCGCAGTGTTGTTAAGCTCGCAAAAAACTGGACACTTAAGTGACATGAAACGTTTTTATTAGCGAAGAAAATATGCTGCAGCGCTATAAGGATATCGTGCATGTCTGCAGCGATAATAAATTTAATTTTCTTTTATATAAAACATACCAGCATAGTAATGAGGTTCTCGCTCGTGGAAATGGTGGTGCCTCATACTGACGTCTTCGTCGCCTGGTTGATGCAGTTGCGGGATTAGATTCAACCAAACGGCCATCTTGTGGCCCCGGTAGTGGCTCTTCATCTTTGGCTTTAATGCTGTAATAGAATTAAGTCGTTAAAGTTGAGTGAGGGTGAGCGGACGACGTTTACGCCTTTCCTGATAAATTGTGTATACTACAGATTTTCGCGCGCTCTTGTTTTCTTGTAAGCCGATTAACTTATTGCGTTTATTATCGTTATGGCTTGAGAGCTTCGAAAAATTATAATGCAAATTGTATATGGACTTCCGAGGGTTCTGTTTGTTACCATAGGATTTCCGATTTAACAACTGACCTACTTCTGAATCTCTGGTGAAATGAAAATTAAAAAGATAAATTTACATTGAAAATTTTAAACGTTTTGGGTATTTTAATAAACGGACTCGTGTATGCAGCGCAGAATGGACAGAATATAAATGCAGATTTAGAAAACAAATTCATTAATTTAAAGAAATTTAGGTCGAATCGATAAAGTGAAAATAACACAGAATTAACGCTGTAGAGTACACGGTACCTAGCCTCAGAGACAGCGTGTTTGTTTTGCTGCTAAAAGGCTCAAGTTAGATTTTTACATCCCGAGTGTAAGCGAAGAAGTATTGTAATCCAGTCCGTCGGCCGCCTCTCTAATTTTACGTTTTCTCGACCTTTCACGACCCCTATGATACGAAGAAATAGGTCTCTCGGTTCTGTCCATCTGTCTGTCTGTCTGCCGGGTGTTCGAATTTTTATTGGAGAGATAATCTCCGAAACTACTGGACCGATTCGCGTCAAATTTTGTATAGATATTGGGAATATCATGTAGATCGTAAAACGCTAACCAAAATTTTTTTAATCATTCCCACCCACAACTTGATGACATCTCAAAATTTTATATATAATACAATAAACATAATTTAAATCTCATACAATATTATACTAACATACTTTCCCATAATTTCAAGAAAATTGGAAGCACGAGGCAACTTCGCATCGGAATTTCAAAACTAAACTGTCGTTATAAAATTTAAGAAGACGGCAATAAATATACCTAAATATGTATTATAAAATATAAAGTGTACTTCATTAAGAAAAGAAAAACTCAGCTGTGTGTTACACCTTCAAAACAGAACACCTTACAGAGTTGAAAATAATTTTAATACGAGTATATGGGCTTCAAAGAACCGTACAAGCTTACACTCTGTTCAAGAGTCAGTGATTACGTGAAACTTGCATAATGCATTCTGGAGCCGCGTGCGCGTAAGATTACTGCGCGTAGCCCGTGTTACACTATAGAGAAATTTTAAGTTCTGCTTTTGACAAAATAATGTTTCGAACATCCGACTTGATGGTGGTCACAAGTAAAAACATAAACTATGAAAGCAAGGAGACGACACAACGCAAGGGATGAGGCAACAATGAAATATCGGTAGGTACAGTGTAAAACTGGCTTGGGAAACACCGTCCACCAAATTTGTCGACCAGTAGGTAGTTGAACACGCGGTGATCACGCGTCTTTCACTTGAATATACTATAGCCTTCAACTTTTTTTTCTAATTCTAAAATTAATAAGATATCGAGGAACGCAAGTTTAGTGAGTCAGCCTGTATTTAAATTCTTGAATTAATCAAGTAAACTTTCTTTTGATAGGGATACAAAAAAGTAGTCTTCCGTTCTCGTCGGATAATCTCCGAAACTACTGGAGCGATTGTCAAATTTTGTATGTATCTTAGAATCATTTATCATGTAGATGAGTAGTTATATAGTGGGGCTCCTAACTCAGTTTGACCTCACTTGACCTGAGCTATCAGTCCCACTAGTTTTTATCGAACGTTTGTCATCGCCTTGTGCTTGGTCAACCTGACCCAAGGGACGGTTCTGTTTTGCGGACACTCGAGTTTTATCCCGACTATACCCTCATATAACTTTGCAGGAACGTACTGATTTATAAATAAAACAACTAAGTGTAGTCAGGTTGTCTGAGCAGTCTAAGGCGTTAGACTTAAGCTCTGATTCTCGAAAGGGGGCGTGAGTTCGAATCCCACACCTGACAGTTTTTAGTGAGTTCAAATAAAACACATTTCAATGTTATGTTATTTATTGAGGAAATATAAAGTGCAGTCAATTGTAAATATTTTTAACAATATTTAGTGAACAGAAACATTTTTTATTATTAGACATATGAATCTCATACGCTGGGATTTCATTGGTCAATTTTACACAGTCTTCTATGGCTTCCAGATTCACAATTTTGGGAAAGTCTTTAAACGCTAACCAAAATTTGACTGATCATTCCTGCCACCAATGGAATGACGTCATCTCCAAAGTTTACAATACTAAATTTGTTTTAATTTTACAAAATAAGATATTCCTGCACTTGTGGCGTATGAATCCGTGTTGAATTTTCACCCTAGACGTAAAGATTTTTGTAAAGAAAAAAAAATGTGTAACAACATTTTGCAATTTAACTTTGAAACTGCAAATCGAGTGTCTTCACAACTTGCAAACGTTTAAATATTATCGTAATCATGGTAAATCGTTAATCAAAATTTATTCGTTTAGCCCCTCCCAAAAAAACTGACGTCATCTTAAAATTTGGTCGAATAAATCCTTTTTGAAATATGCAAAATACTATGAGTCTGTACTTATACAGGGTGGGTAAAAAAGTAATTAATGAGGTAATTTATTGTATTGATTACATCACGAACGACTCATTCGATTTTACCTAAAATTTCGGAATGTTATACTGTTATTATTAGTATTACATTGTATCTATCCAAATTGATATAGATGTTCTTGCAAAAATCTTGATGACGTCAACACAAAATTTTGTAATGAAAAAACTCGCTTGAAACAAACGCGTAGTACCTTTACTTTAACACTACATATTTTTAAGGGTTATCATAAAACATAAAATTCGCAAAATCAAATCTTACAATTTTTCGAAAAAGCTGAATTTGTTGTATTGTACTTCAGAAACGAAGGAAGTTCTGTCGAAATAACCTTCGACCAATTTTCTTAAATCATTGTGTTAAGATACTCGCTAAGAAATCTGCAAGATTATTCTAGAGACAAGTTTGAAAAACGTTTAATAATATTTTAAGTAGGTACACCTAAATAAGTTTAAATCATCACTTAAAATTAAAATTACAAACTTCCATCTTCAGTGGAGTAAATTTTTATATGTGATAGGAGTATTTTTTTTTACAAATAAAAATATCTTGAAAATTGTTTAAACAACCAGTGTGTCTTAAAGTTTTTCTCTTATAAATCGATACCTGTAAAAATATCAAGGCAGTTCGGTAAAAAAATTATTTTGGTGTATAACCCCGAAATGTAACACCTCGTCGTTGTAAATTCTAGGCACTGCTTTCTCCCAAGATTTAAAAAAATATATTTTACTATAAACGGGTAATCGGCAAACGTGTAAAAAATTATTCTTCATTTTTTGTTGTCGAAGTGGAATTTTAGCACCAAATAAATCTTAATAAACATTTCCCCAAAAAATTATACCCAACACAACTGCACGAAATGGACTGCGTCAGTTTTAAGCACCATTGTAACTGTGGAAATTACATGTGAATTGTGACTTTTATTTGAAACTTGCCACCGTGTTGATTTTTGGAAATCACCTTCGTTGGAATAATCTCGTAATCGGTGTTTAACGCGTCAATGATTTTTCACATATGATTGGCGTAAATATATGAAATGCGATTTTCTACTTTACGCACCAAGGTTCTGAATTATGGTCGCAAAATTATTCAGGTTTTTGTTAATCCACTGATTATTATTAATGTTATTATTATTAGATTCTTTTGCCTGTCAAAAGAGTTTGAGTAAATGGAACGTGCTCGTTACGGTTTGAAAATTCATTTTTAACAACGTTCTCGTTTTTCTTGTCATGCTTTGTCATGTTTACATAGTAAAAAAAAAATCAAGTTGATCTAAATTTTATGCTGTCGTACACAGAAAACAATGTTTCAAAAAAACAAGCCGTTTTCATCATCGATAAAATCGGATGTGCAGAATTTTATGATGCTTTTAAAATAAGCTACTCTTGGACGATTATTTCGTGCGTAAATTATTTTTTTCATGTAGGGGTTACACACTTCTAAAATAAATTGTTCATTCAGCAGGGAAGAAAATATTTTTTCTACTTAGAAATTATTTCCGTAAAAGCACAATAAAAACGAATTTTATCTGGATTACTTTGTTAATGGTGTTGGGATCTCTCTTAACACGTCGGAAAGATGAGGAAACGTAATTTAGAACCGGTGAGAATGTTGCTGACAGTCCGACCAAACTTTGAGCTTAGTTTTGTTTATAGTAAGATTAGTAAGATTATCTCTTGATATGAATTAATCTCTGGTGGCCCCAATTTTTTGCATGAATACCATTCGAACATTTGCCAGAAATCTGTTTGGATGAAAACAACATAAATTTTTAAGTTGAATGCCCTACCTTCTAAATCAAGAGATACTTGTTACTTAACGTATAACGACGTGTTCAGCATACTCTTTTAATGTTAAAAGCAACCTCGGGATACGGGATCCAAAAACAAAACTAATTGGTTACTGTCACATTTCAAATCGCATTTTATTTTTTTATTAATTATGAGGACTCAAGCCACTGCATTAGTCACGCAGGTTGAAATTGTTAATTAAATTTGTTGAAAATATTTTTTTTTTCTAGAATGAAACCAACGACAATAACTGCAGAAGTTATGAGAGGCAGAATTTGATTATTCCAATAAATTGATAATTGTTATAAATATAACCAACATACTTTTTTAACTTCTAAAGTGAAAATTTGATGTCTAATTTAAATGTTTTGCTTGTTGAAATATAAACCTGATAACTGATAAGTGGTAACTTACTTAATATCTCTTTATAAAAGCAATACAGATAAGTGCCCCTAAAGAGCATACTAATTTTTACCAGTTATTCTATTAATAGCCTGAAACTAAAATACATCTTTCATATCTAAGTTGTGTTGTGCAGTCAGGTGAGGCGTTCTTCTGAAGTATGATATTCTTCTGAAATATTCAAAATAAATGATCTTTTTCTCTCAAGTTTCAAAATC